GCGTCGCTGCTAAAAGTTGACGTGTGCAATGAAATTCGACACAACCGTCAATGACACAAATAAAATAATCAATTTGAAGAAATAAATAATTTCAATTTCACAATACAAAACATATACAAATACACAGAACAGATAACAAACACAAGTTACTTCATAAAATCTGCATTTCGAGATTGCTATTCAAATAGTCACAGAATATATTTATGTTTAAAAGTTGGTAGTATTTGAGACATTGCCATTCGAACTTTGAATTAAACTTTTTACGTTCAAATTTTAGAAGCGGAATGTTCAACAAAGATACTTTTGGCATTTTGAGCAGGAGATCTCTATTTCGTCCTTTGAGACCATAGTCTCAGCCCCAGCAAGTGTCATTAAGTCGGCAAAGATATCTGTGAATACTGCATTGGATTATCCAAAGCCCAATAAGGAGACACGACAAAGCACTTGGCGTAAAATTAAACTTACAGCTGCAGCATTGAAATCAGGCATAGCGGTTATTCTATTATCACATGGCCCTGGAAGGCGAATCTCCTCAGGAAGCTCATTAAAATCAGGATAATAGAAGCAGCCATCACTGGTCTGGTTCATAACTTCGTAATAATCTTCGAAGAGATCGTCATTGTTCGACACGATGGCGTCAATTGCGGCGGTATTTCCTTCGCTTAGACCTTCTCGAGACCGGCTGAGCTGCCAACTATTGACTGAAAGATAAACGACATTTATTTAACAATTGAAGGACTAGGATAAAGTGTCTTCTTTTTAATTTCGTATATTGCACACACGGACTATACAAAAAATACAATGGAAGTGACTTATGCCTCGATTACCTTTAGAACTTACGAGCATTCAAAATTATAAATTTTTCAAATCCTTTTTTCTCAAAACACGAATTCCTGTAGGGCTAGCGTGATAGGGCGCGACTAGCGCGACAGCGTGCGACTAGCGCGAGAGCGACATAAAGCGCGATTTAACGCTATTTTCGCATAGAGATCTCGCGCTTTTGTCGCTCGTCATGCTAGCTTATCGTGCTAGTCCTACTGACTTAAACGAGTTTTTCATGGACACACAGAAACAAGAGAACAGTCAAAAGCTAAACGTGTTGCAAAAATAACGTGTTAGATACAAGCAGAATAAAGTTTATGAATTAAAAATTATAGCATGTCGGCCGCATCTACGATAGCGTTTAGAATTTAATCAATATTATTGTTATTAATATTCAGTATTTGTCGAACAGTATATTCGACAAATACTGATTATTCGGCTAAACTATTCGGCCTGACCAACGCATGTACGAAAATTGTCGAACAAACCGCATTATGGCAATAAAAGCGCGCCCTGCATTCTGATTGGCTGTTGCTACGCTTCGCCAATCGGATTGATTGTTGACTAATTTTGATGTTATTTGCTATCCTTTTTGATCTCTTAGAAAATAATTTTACATAATGTTCATTACATTTCCTTTGATAGTTTATTTAAATAACCGAAAAATTTGTCGAACTTAAGGTGTGTATTTGGCATTAATGAAAGTTATATGTTAATTTACGTTTTTTTCTTATTTTCCTCATGATTTTAGGTATTGGCGTGGACAATAACTCAAGAGGGTTGCTAACCTCCATACTACAGCACATCGTAACACTGAAAAAGGTCAAAATTCCGTCTTATATCCAGATGGGCCTGATCGATAGCCTGGAAGTAGTCCATTTGGCCTTGGATATTAGTTCCCCTTTAATATGAAATACAAGTGGTCTGATTTTTCCTTGTAATATTATTCAAATATTTGAACTTTGAAAAATATACGTATAAATTGATGGCAAAGTGTGTTACAAACTAATTTATAAAGCCGGGTACTCACTAGCGAGCTGTAACTGTAACCGTTGCATGTTATGTAAACAAAAAGCATAGTGTGTACGTGGTTCACGAGCTTGCCGCGAGCGGAACGCGTGCGGTTTGCAGTGAGCTGTCTGATTGTTGAAGACTGTTTCAAGCGTACACACTAGAACCTCGTTACTGTATCTGCACGTTACAGTTAAAGCTTGCTAATGAGTACCCGGCTTAACAAAGTAAAAGAATAGCAAGCAGTTGGCAATAAGCACTATTTAGTTGATTTGTTTGTTATCACTAGAAATTAGAGTAGCTCCAATAAATTGCAGCTTGTCAATATAAAATAAATTAGTAGCAGAAATAGCTATTTGGCACTTGTCGCGACATCCGGTGACATCGTCGGTACCATACCCGACAGTACAAAGTTTTGTACCGCGATTATCGGTCGTCGGTCCATGGTACCAATATCACATACTTATTCGGCCCAGTAGTAATGTAATTTTCGTTATGCGGCCGAATGGCAAAAATAAAAGAGGCAGAGTAAGTCGAATTCTGAATAGTAACCGAATATTCGTTGCAACTCCTCTAATCATAAGTGAGAATTCGCTAATTAATTCTTAATTAGCGAATATAAATGCCCAACAACTGATCCACCATCATTTTAAAATCCCAACTGAACAACTCTATTTTTTGCAACTACCATCTCATTGCATTTGTAAGGAAAACACGGTCAAGGGAAACATAAATAATAAAAATCAAGTATTAATTTTTGAGCAATTGAGATCAAACGTTATAATTATCTCAGACAATCAGTTTTTTTTGTGACAGGTCATTAATATCGACATGTTGCAAATCACAAGTAACAAAAAATAAATCATAAGTAATATTTAAATAAGTTTTTGTCAAACATGACTTTTTGTGCCATTTATTGATTGCTATTTCCCTTTTGAATCGTCGCTTTGTTAATGGGTTTATGAACAGTAATTTATGTCCATTAATATGCACAATTTGCAAAGTACGTTAAGTAAGTTTTTCTTTTTGACTGTACCATACTACCCACCAAAAATCCCTTCCTCCTGCCCTGCATAGGGGATCCGATGGGAATAGAAAATAATATAAAATACAATGCATTCACCTGGGAATCCGTTTTAGACGATCAGATCGGATTATCCCAACATTTGAGGGTTAAAATGAAATTACAGGAGCGTAGTTTTAATCGCGTTTTTCTTCGATCTCTACTCAAAGTGGACAATTGAACATGTTCATGACGTTCATACTTACTTTGTTTGGTTTCATTATCAACATATCGGCAGCTATACAGTAAAGCGAATTCGGTGTAGTCAGTTGCTAGCACGTACAAGTCCATAGACACGGACTCTGCAATACAAATATAACAGCTGTTACTTGGTGATCCAGCGGACATTTCAATGTAACATGTTGATCTTTTTCTTACTTGGCACTAGAAAAATACGTTTAGGGTTTGAGATGAAGGAAAATCTTTTAGGAAGTTAGTTCTCTTACTAAAAATACGTATCTATGTATATTGATATCAAACATGTTACTAAAGAGAAGCGGAGTGCGCAAACAATCAATAAAGTTTCGTTATTTTATTTCCAATTTATATTGTAACACGAGTAATAATGGCATGTATTTAAATGATCTTTTTAAATTTGCACAAGCAGCAGGCCCAAAAATCTTAAATTGACATCTTTTTTAATGATTGATCCTCTTTCTCTGAGACATGAAATTAATTAAATGAATCGATATTTTAATCTTTTCTCAGTTACGCAAAAAATGTTTGATATGTATAAATTAATTAATGTAGTTTTATGTTGGGCCTCAAAAGTAAGGCACAATGAGCAATAAAAATAAAATTTGGATACTTATTTTTAAAACTAAGTAAATGTTGATCATATTTGTATACTATTATATTAATCATAATATAATTTGATCTGATAACATGTTCGGAATCGCAAGCAAATTGTCTTCTGGCACTCGCCGGCCGCTGCCGCGACACGCTCGCTTCGCTCACTCGGCTCGTGCAGCTTTTTCATATACTAACCTAACCTACTGAAGGAGGGCGCAACCAAGCAACCAAGATTATTATGAGATCAATATCAAAAGATATACTGCTTATAAAAGTAATTAATCGTTAAAAGAAAAGACCACTAATAAAAAAAGATCAAATATTATTTTTGAATACCAAAAATTAATTTAGTATGCTTAAACATAATAATAGAGTTACCTTGAATGGAGTTAATTTATTATTTATCCGTAGATCAACTAATATAGACGGAACAATTAATATGTACATAAAACAAACATAAAAAATATAGTTTATTAAAAAAAGTGTACATTTACAATAGATTAATTATTTATTTGAGGATGAAATAATATTAATTCCATAGAAAATCACAGATCGATCTGTAGATGTATGTAGCCCGCAGGAATGACACAAACACTTACCGCCCTCTTCGCTTTGTAAGCTAGTACTAATGATGCTGCGTCCATCATTTGATAGCGTTGCTGGTACTGATATTGATACCAATTCTTCGTTGACGACCATAGATGTAGTAAAGGAGAAAACGGTGGCAGTGGAATCGAGGCTTTTGGTAGCGCACGTGCCCTGTCGGAGCTCCGATGGGAATCGGGAGACTTCGTGCCACGTGCCTGAGAACTGTACACATATATTTGTTTATAACGTTAGCCTTAGCGAAATAGTGCGTGTGAACTTATGGGATTGGTATGTCGACTCTGAACTGGCAACCGGTACTATCTCAATTTTGACAACTTTACAGGATGAAGAGAAACATTGTTTGCGTCATCTAGATAGCATCTGGTTTATTAAATAAAAATACGTAGTATACGTACATACATGTGTAATAACAGTAGTTTATGTGACTGTTACATAACGAAAAGCATTAAAATATGAGTGAGGGTTTATCACAAAAACATCACACGAGTGTTTTAATGCCTAATTGTATATTGTATGTATACACTACTTTATCTGCACACATATTATAAGCTCTCTGTGATGTGTTCAGGGACCGCATGTTACAACCGGCGAAATGGCGGCAAATAAAAATTTTTGTCACGTATGTCACACAACCGTAGTGTTTATTTAATTCGTAGACAAACTAGATTCGGCCCGAACTATCATATCGTGCGATATCAAGTAACGTGTGAAATTTGTCAAAATTGTTTGCTATCATTTTGAATATAATTTCATCTCGACTGGTATTAGAATTGAGGTCCAATCATATTGTTTTGTTTTTCAGAGATGTTCGAAATTTGAATGGAACAATAACATCGAATTCTATGTTATTATTAGGGGTTAAAGTATGAAAAATGCCGTTTTATTGCAATAGGTTCTTTGAATTTTCATAGAATCTTCATGGTTTGAGGTTTTCGAATGAAACTTTTTTCAAATGGTTTCTGTGATTTTTTTTTTAAATTTGAAACATTTGAATATCGACTTTCAATTGTTTTTGTTATTCAATTTAGACAAGAAAGATGGATACGGCGAAAATTCGAGTGATTTTTGAATACGAGTTCCGACGCGGAACTAACGCGGCAGAAACAGCCCGCAATATCAATGCTGCGTTTGGAGAGGGGTCTACTAATGAACGCACCGTGCGATTTTGGTTTAAACGCTTTCGTGATGGAAATTTCGACTTAAAGAACGAGACACGAGGAAGACCGCCCAGACACAGGTGAATAACGATGAATTAAGAGAGATAGTGGAAGCCGATCCTAGTCAAACTACCCAGGAATTAGCGGCATGGTTTAACGTTACCTTACCCACAATATTGACTCACTTGCGTCAAATCAATAAAATAAAAAAATACGAAAAATGGGTGCCTCATGATTTGACTGATCTGCAGAAAGAAACGCGTGTTGAAACTTGTGTTGCCTTGTTGAACCGGTACAGAAATGAAGGAATATTGGATCGAATTGTAACATGTGATGAAAAGTGGATTCTTTATGATAACCGGAAAAGAAAAATGCAATGGCTGACCCCAGGTCAAATGCCACAACAGTGTCCTAAAGCAAAACTTACCAATAAAAAGGTAATGGTAACTGTTTGGTGGTCTCAGCATGGTGTTATTCACTATAGTTTTCTCCGATCTGGTCAAGCAATAACGGCAGATGTCTATTGTGCCGAACTCCGAACCATGTTGACAAAACTAGCAGTAAAACAGCCCCGACTCATGAATCGATCTTCACCATTATTACTCCACGACAACGCGAGACCTCACGCAGCACGAGAAACCATTTTCACCCTTCAGGAACTGCAGTTAGAAACCATTCGTCATCCTCCGTATTCACCGGACCTTGCTCCAACGGACTACCATTTTTTTCGTGATTTGGACAATTATCTACGTGACAAGAAGTTTTCTTCCCAGGAGGCAGTACAAAATGCTTTCACACAGTTTGTGCAGTGTAGATCGTCGGAGTTCTATCGCAAAGGCACTAATAACCTTCCCATTAGATGGCAGCAATGTATAGATAATAATGGCAACTATTTTGATTAAATGAATTTGTTAAAAATTTAAAAAATAAACAATTTAGATTTTCAGTACAAATCGGCAATTTCATACTTTAACCCCTATTATTAAGCAATAATAACATTTTCACTGATAAGAAATTTGTTCTAACAAAACAGTTTACCTTTATGCTGGCCGTAATTTGCGGTTTTTGAACACATCACAGAGGGTTTAGGATATGTGTGTAGATAATAATATTTAAAAACTACGTGTTTTTATTTATTAAACCAGATGCTATATAAATGACGCAAACAATTTTTATTCTTCATCCTGTAAAGCTTAGAATAATAACGTATAGAATGATAGTTTCATATCAAACGAACTGTCACAAGTGAGGCAAAAATCAAATTCATGTAGGCTAGTTTTAGTAGTAGGTTAATTTTCGGTTTTAGTGAATATTTATGTAAAAATACAAGTTGAAACGCGTTACTTCCTTGTGGAATGTGATGTTAGTATCTATTTTATGTTTGTCTGACGTATTTTTACACTCATTTACCGCATATTTCGTCATTTTTAGCTAAAATTCTTGAGCTGTTCGCGGTGCAAGTTGACCTTGAGCACTGAAGGCCCGTCCGCTCGTGTAGGCCCATTGGGCGCGCTTCATTTGCCTCACTTAGCGTGTGCGGACTGGGTTTCTATGCGTTATTATTCTAAGCTGTAAAGTTGTCAAAATTGAGATAGTGCCGATTGCCAGTTCACAGTCGATATACAGGCTTATTTTTAAAATAACTAACAACCTTGCAAGAATAGATTAGTAACATCTTATACAACCACTTTGTCTCATGACTTTCAATAATTCATCAGAATTCACTTTCATCCAAAAGTAGGTAGATTTAAATAATAGCTCTGTGCAGGACAGTGGTGGGAGCGTTGCGAAGGACGCACGCACGTTTGAATTTATTCTACCAAATATAGATCTAAAAAAGAATTATATAAGTAGTACAAAAAAACTTAAAAGTTTATTTTTGGTGAATTTATTGTTTTGTAAAAAGTCCTGGAACAAGTTGTTGTTTATGATGTTAGAAATAAACCCTGAGGAATTCCGGCAAAATCTAACGCCCGATGTTCGGAAGAATAGCCTTCTAAGATAACTCGTATGTTCACTCAAGAAATCCGAAATCTAATTACAGACGTCAGTGGGAAGTCTATAAGAGGGAAGCTTGCTTAAAAGGCTTGCGTACCAGAACCTGTCAAAGGCTTTAGAAACTTTTAAAGACACAGCAAGGGCTTCACCATGTCTTTCTATAGCCTCGTTCCATAGATGAGAGGCGTACACAAGAAGATCCCCAGCAGAGCGCCCTCGTCGGGATCCGTACTGGTGATCACTGAAGAGATCGTTGTATCTACGGACGGTTTCTTTCAAAATCTGTCGATAAAACTATCGACAACAACTACATAACTATTTAAAATGTCATTTTACTCTGTTTTCAGAAAAGACAGTCTATAGTAGCAGTACTTCCTTGGACGAACTCTTTCACAAGGAGCTCTACAGCTACTAATTCAATGTAAATTCGCCTGTTTTTATAGTCATGTACCGCCAAATGAGTATTATTCGTGGAAAAAATAGCAAAAAACGAAATACAAACCGCTTCACTATTGAAGTTGCGAACAGTCTCAACACCTTCTTTATCAGGACACTGTCCTTGCAAGTAGACCTTTCCATCGGTGAGTGGAGGATAAAAGAAACAATCGTCAGGAGTTTGAGACATAGGCTGATAATACTCCTGTCGCAAAACTGGCACTGAGTTAATAACGTCGTTAATTATCGTGTTTGATTCATTTGTTAAACCTGCCTGTTGTCGACTTAGCTTCCAACTGTTCACTGCAAAAATAAAAGAAAAATAGGGTAAAGATTAAAAAAACATGAAAAATGAATAATTAATAATAATAACGTACACACTCATATAGGGAAACCTTGTATCGTGGGTGCCATGGACACACACATAGACAACCACAAATTACACCCAAACTTACGAGAGAAATAAATGTAGATCGTACAAATATTTCTCCCAGCCCGAAAATCGAACCCGAAATCTCTGCTTAGCAGACTAGAATGGTAACCGTTGAATGATGAAATTTTATTCTTTCAAACAACGGTATAAATTTTGATCTTGTTGAAGATCAGCAAAGGTATCAATTTCTCGGCCGGTTACCAAAAAATCTTGTTGGAAAAGACTTATACTTTATTTAAATACCTGCTTTATCCTGACTTCTCCTGACTGTAGAGATAGTCAACATTTTCAGATAAGGGTGGTGTCCAGAAGTAAATAGTTTTCAGGAAACTAGTGTTTTCCAAACGGAAGATATTATAGTGACTGGACAAACAGTGAATGGACTCATCTTGAGATATTTTTTGAAAGCATTAATGTTGATAGAAAAATGCTTTAATTACCTCTTTTATATTCTTCGTCGATTTCATAGCAGGAGTATACTAAAGCAAAGTTTTCATAGTCGGTGGCAAGTACCCAGTATGGCGACGTAATCGTGTCTGAAAGATATTTAAACTTGAAGCTTGGCAAATATACGTGGCAGACAGTCACTACCTGGTCTCAAACAATAAATTTTATACTAAAGTAATCGAATTTAGGGACACTACCCAGAACATTCGGAGCTGAACCAATATAAATCGGGATTTGACCCCGGGACTTTCCTATATAATTCTTAAAGAGACAAACATCCAAGTCACTAAAGTTTATATGTAAGTTACTACCGGACTTCACATAGTTTCTTCACATGCTTTAGATAAAAAGGACCCGAGAGGCACTGTCATTTATTTATTTTTGCGACGATTTATTTTATCAACCAGTGGTAGATACAATAAATCGTAGGAATAAAGAAGACTTAAAAACACATTGAATTCTAAATGCACTACTTGTAGGTGCCATAACATGTAAAGAAAAAACAAAAAAAAGTGAGTAATAGCAGGCGGTAGAAAAAAAAAATTTTAACTAATATTACGTAAAGAAAAATAAACATTATGAGTTACGTCCAAATTTGGAAACATCTATTCAATCGTTAACACATCTATTGTTTGGTCAAGCTCATTAAAGGTTCTTGTTCTTGTGCGGCACATAATACTGCAATATTCTGGAGTACTATTTACACACGCGTTGTAGATAGTTATTTTCTTATTAGGATTTTTAAAAACTTTACCATTTCTCACGATGAAATCAAGCAGTTTGGAAGATTTGGCTATGATTTTGTTGAGATGAGGTAGAAATGTAAGCTTACTATCAAAAGTAAAGCCTACGTCGCGTATTTTATTGCATTCCTCTAGAACCTTATCATCGATGCTGTTATTCGTGGCGTTATGTTTACGAGTGAATTTGATATGAAAACATTAAGTGGTACTAATAAGTGATATTGTTGGTGGCAGAAATAAGTATGGTGGCAGGTCGAATGCATTCACAAGGAGTTCTACTGTTACTATATTGTGGAGTAAGTATAAACAATAAGGCGATGATCAAAATCTACTTCATAATAAAATTGTACTCACCATCCGTTCCTCTTATAGGGAAAGTAACGTTCAATTTGGCAGAACCATCAGGAGATACTACAACTGCAGTACCTTTGATAATGTCTAATCTTTGCGCGACTACTTGAGTGTTGGTCACATCAACAGTGTCTGATGGACCAAGCTTATATTCAGCTTTACCACAGGTACCCTCTTGGAATTCTGCTGGATAGCTCTCTATATCGTACCAGACATCCAGATACTGTAATATTAAATATGTATCATGTGATGCATTTTTGCAATGTACCTAGGTGTTTTAGTGGACTTGGCATATGAAAGGTACTTATAAAAGACAAAAAACTTATGTAAGCTGATCCTACGCCATTAGAAACGGAGATCTATCGAGGATTAAACCAATAGTTCTCAAAGAATACGTCTTTGAGTGCGTGAATGAAGGATGAATAAACGAGCAAATCATAGTCCAAGAAATAATAACGTCAGCGATGATGACGTTGAACAATTTTAAATTGACAAGTTTGGTTTTAGCAAGGAACTGATAGTGCCATTCCAGGTGCGTGAATTGGCGTCAAAGTGAAACCGTTTGACATCTCACGATGTTACAAACAAGATCATTAGCGTAGTTACGAACGCTGTGTGTCATAATGAAATTTTGATATGAATGTTCGAGTTGCCAATGCAAGAAATTGCTTAAAAATTTAAATTTACAACCTTTGTTATAAGCCGCGTATAAGAAATATACTTACCCGACCAACGTCAAAATCCGTAACTACATTTATATTATCATCACAACGTCCTCTAAATATTACAGGTTCTTTAGGTTTTGGTTCTGGATAGTAGAAGCAAGCTTGTGCACCATGATCTCTTGAATTGTAATATTGAGCATCCAATACGTCGATCAAGTTTATGATACTGTTGATTGCTATGGTTGCATTGTCAGACAGTTGTCTTGTTCTGCTCATTTTCCAACTTCTTACTGTACAGGTAGACGCCGTTTAGTTTTTAATTAAGATTACAATTTGCCGAATATAGTTTCAAGGATCACGTAAAAAGATTGGGTGAGTACTTTGCAAATATTATGTTACTTAACATTGACGAATTATTTTGAGAGCAATCCTATGGTAAACGCAAAAACATAGGATGGGGAAACAGAAGAATGTTTGAATGTAATGCTAATAAAACATAGCGCTTGTGCTTTTATTGAAAGTTTTTCTGTCTTTGATGTATTCTGGTCAAATGCAACAAGAGAAGAGGCATAGTTCAAGACGGATAATAATGCAAGGAAAAAGGGCTGGTATTACAGGTGCTATCTTCGGTTTTTAATAAATTGAATGAACCAATACTTACTCCGGCGTCTATTCTCCGACATGTCTTGACATGAGTAAAGTAGAGCAAAGTTAGTATAGTCTGTTTCTAAAATCCAGTATTCGTATTCAACTGAAATAGTAAACATTGTACTAAAGTAATTTCGTATGGTAAAAGCAAAGTTTAGAGTTACTAATTGAGAAGTATTTAAATAATCAAGTATTGTTTCTTGTCTGCAGTGCGAACAAAACAATTGGTTTAAGTCAAATTTTGCGCAGTTAAGAACCTTGGAGGTGATGGAACGGTTAGATAAAGATGAAAAACAAGTAATGATGATGATAAAGTAATTTATTGAAGTAATAGTATATTATTGCAGAGGCCGGAAAGTACACGATTGCAGCGAGGCATTGGACTATACAAGTTAGGCAATCCACGTTCTCGCCGGGGTATATATATAGTGCTTTTCTCAAATAATGCGAGAAAATAAAGACTAAAGAATGAAGTAGAATGTATAATAGAAAAAGTAAAATATATATTAATTGATATTCCATGACAAATTTTGCTTCTTGTTTTAAATTAGGCGTTATACAGTACGTTATTATATTTTTACTCTTCTCACTAGAACTTATTTTCGCGAAGAAAATATAAACAATACAAAAAAAAAATTATTAAATAACAAAAAAGAACTTCCAACATTCGTTTCTTCACAGGCTTTTTTATAGTATATGGTATAATCGTGCACCATATTTTTTTATAAGTTTTCATCCGTTTATTTTGGGAAGGCAAAGGTTCAACTATACAGTCTCGTCATAATTGTAATGTTATCGTGCACCATAATTACACGCAAAATAAGTAAAACAGTGATTAAACAATTCTTTTTCAATTATGTTTTCGCAAATACGGGCGCTGATGGTTGTGAACAGTTGGCTTTATGACAGTTTTTCTTTAATGTTTACATAGCTCTTTGTTAGTAGATATATTTAAAAGTTTTTAAAAAACGGATTTTCCTGCTTATTTTGCCGGTCAAGGCTGACAAAGTGTTGTAAGCTGCTTAAATGACAAACTTTCTGTTGTTTTTCGTGTTTGTTTTTTGAAAGTATGAATGAGTCAGATTAATAATGGTCAGTTTGGCAGTTGTGTTTGCTGGTCGTTAATATGTTTAACAAAATGGCTTATAATTAGATACTAATGTACCCAAACCTCCACTGAACTGTTACACCCATACATTTATTACAACCATAGTTGCCAATGACGTTGTTGCACCAAACCTTATTGGCAACTATGGTTGCCAAACAAAAACAATACCGCCGCCATTGACTTACAATTATACGGACGTCGGGTCCGCGCTAAAAAGTGTCCGAACGTATAGGGCGTTAAAATCGTATACAGAGCGTGATTCACGCTCTAGTCTTCGTTTGTTCGACTGACAGCGAAGCAAGCAAAATTAGACAGTACTGCGATGACATTACAATTTAAATTCAACGTTTTAGCTTTTTCATATTCCTTGACATGTCACTACGTTTAAATAGGTTGACTTGGGACATTTTTTTCGTGGTTTTTGTATTAGACCCGTCGTCCATTTATTTGTAAGTCAATGACCGCCGCGGTCCACTTTTTTTCTGCTTATTCTAGTGCGGTACCTCGAGTCGCCTTCAAATTTTTGCTAGTATTTCTCAATATAACAGGTAATCACATGAAATTAACGGACATCCCTACCAAGCAAAGATAAAATAGGAAATAAATGTCAAAATTACAACTTGTAGCGCGATTGTTGACGTTGAGTGTTAGCTGAAGATTCTGACTGTAATGAATGCCATTACTATTTATTTTTGCAATGATTACCTATCAAAATGATCGTTGGGATGTGCTTTTTCTGATGGTGTTAAAACTTTAACATTTGATATCATATTGGAATCACAATCTGATTGGAAAAAAGGTCATCAAAGTGAAGGTCATTGCACCTTGTGATTGCTTTTTAGAAAAAAAAAACTTATTCGTTATTAAAAGACTTTTTGGAGTAAAATATCACTCAAACAATATACGTTGTATTAAAACCTTTTTTAGGTCATTACATTGTGAATTTTGGTAGGATTCGTAAATTTTCTTCCTCGCAACCTGTAATTTTTTTCACGCCATTTTCGCAAATTTTCCACGAATTCCGCCACTACCCGTGATTATTTTTAATCCATTTTCATTTTTCATATAATTCTAGTGTTAATCGACAGGTATTTAAATACTCGTCACCTTTAAATATGTTTTGTTTCCTAATAAAATGAATATACAAAGTGGTTAAGAGTTAAATCGTAAAACACTATGAAAATTTCTCAGAAGTATTCAGAGTACTCGGAAGTTAGCAAGTAAAGTCGTCGTATTACAATCATAACTGTGGTCTACACAAAAGCTACTTAAGTGCTCTTATCGCTCTTGTTATTTTTTTTGCCATAGCTTAATTGGTTCTCGAGTTTCAAGTGTTTATATTACACGCGCCTTATCGCGGCTCCTAATGTAAACAATAAAAAAAACGGTGGACGTGGCGTGTTGACGTAATCTCGCGCACGTACAAATGGTTAGTTAAATACTCACCTCCGTTCGTAGTAACAGTCAGTTTGCCGCTGTTGTCGATTGCCATCACAGCCCTACTAAGGGTGACGTCCAATTTGTCATTAACGACCTGAGTCAATTTTATGTCAAATGTGTCATTTCCGCTTAGAGTGAACGTGCTGTCTTTGCAGTCACCTAGGAAGTCGTCAAAGTAGCTCTCTATATCGAACCAGCGACCAGCAAACTGAAAAATAATAATTAATCTAATCTAATCTGAGCACAAACCATGCAGCATTGAAAATAATACATACTTCGCGATAATTCCGTAGAAATAAACGAAATTATAAATTCGTTAAATAAAAATCTAAATAAATATTTCGATCGTAATAGTCTACTTAGAGCACGCAATTTTAATGTAACAGAAGAAATAATCGTTTTATGAGGCTCTCAATGCTTCTTAAGTCACAAGAATATTAAAGATATACGTTACAAAGAATTACCTTTTCTAGTGAATCAAGGAGACAAGACAGCTAGGTACAACAATTCAGCAATTAAGGTCAATGAACTATAATTCAAATTTACGTATTGACGAGCCCACTTCATTTTAAACTATATTACCATAGTATTTTATCATTGTTTAAATTAAATAGCATAACGTACCTCGGCAGCGTTAAAGTTCTCAACAACAGCAATACTCTGATCGCATTGTCCTATAAAGGTAACTGGTTCATTGGGTCTCAATTCAGGATAGTAGAAACAAGCGGCATCAGTCTGCAAGACTGGTTCGTAGTACTTCTGATCAAGTATGTCTATGTTAGCTATGGCAGCATTTATTGCCGTATTTGAACTTGCTGACAATTGCTTTTCTCTGCTGAGTTTCCAACTCCATACTGAAAAGGTAGTTCATATTATTATTATGTTAGGCATTTTTAAGATACTTCTGAACACTGAAGTGTGAAACCTAATACAAAAACACTAGAAGAACAGCTGCAACAAGGCCACGGTCAGAAATGTAATTCGTGTTCATGTGGAGTAAATCTTTATTTTGCGACCCAATGTCCAACAAAGTTTCTTGAGGAGTCAGTGGCGTTGAAAAGGTCAACCAGAGTGTGGGTGTGAATAGAGATGAAAACTTAAAAATAGACTTGATTTAGATAATAAAATTTGGACTCACCTCCTCTAAACGTAGAGTTAATGTTAACACAACTATACGCTAAAGCATAGTTTTCGTAGTCAGTGTCAAGAATCCAGTACGGAATTTCTATTACTGAAAGAATAAAAGATATTTGTAACATATCAAAATAAATAAAAAATCCTAAAGAATTTGCTTCGACATACATTGCAAAGAAAAGAAATAAAGACAATAATTTAACTCATCAAACACGCCTATGGCTCTGCTATGAAGGATTAGCCCTTCATGGTTCTGCTGCATTCCGTAATGGTGATATTGTAGGACGACGACGCTTTGAAATGAAAATTATATTCTAAAATATAGTTAGTATCTTGGAATACTTTGTATGAAATAAACTTTATATAATAATAACATGAAGTCCTTACTGTCTTAAATATGAACCATAAACAAGCACTTAAGAACATATTTCAACCTTAATATGAAATTAAAAAATCATACAAACCCGAATCTTCAGAATTAATTATAATGTTGAGTCTAGCACTACCATCAGTAGAAATAACGTTAGCAGATCCTAAGACAATATCCAGGCGTTGGTTATAGACCTCATTGCGGACCAAACTCATGGAACTAGGCGAAGTTGCATTGAAATCGTTGTTGATGCATTGACCTCGTTGCTGATCTGATGGATAGGACTCGATTTCGTGCCAGACACCGCTGAACTGAAAGCCCGAGAAAAGGATTTTTTTAATATGAGCAACACACGTTTGAACAGCTAACAAAGCGAGACTTATTATATAAAAGAGGTGCTCAAACCATTTTCTTTTCACTGCTGAACACGGTTCTCATCTAAGGGTAACCACAGTCGCATTTAAATAGTTAATATATAGCATAAGGGTCGACAATATTTGACTTTTGATCAATGCAATTTTTTTGCTTCTAGATGGGCAGTTAGTTAGTTCTTTAAAATTCTACAACACTGTGAAAGTCTAAAGTTGATCGTGCTAAGAATACCGAATGGTGAGTGTGGACACCATAATCTTAATGACATCATGTAATCTAAGAACGTTTTAAAGATGATAATAACTACTTCAGTGTGTATTAGAAAATGGTTCAGTAAGAAGCGTATCTACGTATTTTATACAAAAGGTTGGGGAGTAGCCAAAATAAAAAATTGCTACGTGGCACATCGTACGCTTAAACGGGTATGCGCAGGTACAAATGGAGCCCCCTAAATTGGAAATACTGTAGCTTAAAATAAAACTTACTCTATTCAGGTCGAAATCGGGAACGGCTGTTTTGTTGTTATTACATTGACCGGGAAACACCACAGGTTTTCCAACTACGGGCTCGGGGAAGTAAAAACAGTCTTCGTCAGTGTGTCCTCGTAATTCGTAATAGTTTTGACTTAAAACTGGAATAGTGTTGATGACATTGTTGATCGCTTCTGCAGAGGCATTAGACAGAGTTCTTTCCCGGCTAAGTTTCCAGCTGGTTACTGCAATTAGGAAATACATTTTGTGCTGAGTTTTTCGTTATATTTTAATAGGACGGCATTTTTGGCACTTACACTCCTTATGTATACGTCTTTTCTAAAGTAGTCGTTGGAATTAAAGTATGCCAATTTTTAATATTGAACAATGATTTTTAATATAAAAAAAATGAATGATAACTTACCGCTACGCATGGGTTGATCAGTAGTAACGGGTATATTTTGACATGAATATACCAACGCATAGTTTATGTAATCCGTAGCTAATACCCAATATGGCGAGTTTATAGTTTCTGCAAAAAAAAGGATTGATTGTTATGGTCAAATACAAAAAATGAACTTCAGTACTCTGTCGTTATTATTGTATGTTTGCAACATTCTCCAACAGAACTAAAACCATTGGAATAAATGTCCAAAATACGAGTAAGTACTCTAGGAGAAAAGTTGCTCTAGTTCGAATTCAGGTTAGAATTGTTCATAAAACCATTTTTTGGGATAGAGTGTAACAAGAATCAGCAAATTTTAAAATGGCCGTTCGCGATTGTTTTGCTTAGAATCTTTAGGCATGTGTTGCAAACAGTTCGTCTAATATTACTTACGGTTGGTTCCAGCCACAGGAAACGTAACAGTTAACTTGGCTTCACCAATGTCTGAAGGCACAGGGACAGCAAGTCCTATAATCGAATCTAAGGTTTGGTTGATCACTTGCGTATTAAAAACATTAACTCCTTCGTCAATTAGGCCGTATGCAGCTGTCGAGCACGTTCCGTCTTGGAAGAACTGTGGGTAGCTTTCAATGTCGTACCACACACCCATGTACTAAAATACAATTAACATTTTTCAAATTGAGTGAATCTCGAAGAAAATGTACCCGAAAGCTGTTTAAAAATGGGTAAGACCTCCTAAGTCACCTTTCCAATTCCATTTAATTTTAAAATACAATGTCGAAGGTGATAACTCCGTCAGTAATAACAAAAATCAACAGCGGTTGGTAAGTTTCATATTATGTCCAATAAAGACGGCCTATTGTGTTCTGTACAGTACAGTACTATACATGGTGTCCCGCGGCTATGCCACATGGAGGGAAAGTACCTTAAATACCATTGATAGAACATTTTACTGAAAGAAGACTTCATTTTGATTTTAAAAACAATTCGAACTGCATTCAAAGATTTGTAAATAATCGCTTCTCTGAACCGGGAATCGAACCCGCAAAATGTGAAAAAAAAAAACCACCTGTAATTTTATTATACTGATCGAAAGACTCAATCATAAGGATTGTTTTCTTCTAAATAACATAACATCTTAAATAAAAGGAAGACTATGAAATTTCACTTTAATTTGAAATTTTGTTCAGGAAAATGGACAACTTTTTCTCTGACTATGCCGCGCTCATAACAACATACATTATCATTTCAAAGTATTACTAATGAGTACAAACTTGAGAAATACATATCATTTCCCTATTATAAGTGCATGATAAAATAATAAGGAAATTCATAAAGAAGTTCACAATCACAAAGCGGCTGGCTGATTATAAAATAATAAAATAATAATATGAAAATGTGTTCCATTTTCAAACGTCTATGTATTCTTTTGTTTTTGTAAGTGAATTTCTTTTTCGATTTCTTGCATTGCAATTGTTGTGTGAATTTACTTACCATGGCGTATCAACATAATTTGGATTTAATGGAAGCATACTATATGAACCACAAAAACATATCACTAGCTTTGCAGTGGTACCGCGAACGGTATCCCGATAGAGAAACACCATCTCCATTTATTTTGAAAAGGTTGATGGATAATTTGAAAAAATTAGGATGATTTCATCGTCGCGTACCGCAGCCACAGCACCAAATGATAAACGTTAACAATGATGAACTCGACATTTTGATTTACTTTGAGGCGAACCCGAAGAATTCAGTGAGGGAAGGTGAAGAAGAAATTGGAATTTCAAAAAGCAAAATACACCGCATATTGAAAAAATACAAATTCAAGAGTTATGTTGAAGGGCGATTACTTCAAAAATTATGCCCGGGTGATGCCGAAAGACGACTTATTTTCTGCCACCAAATCGAGAGGCTTATCCGTCAGAATCAAAATTTCTTGACTAACATTATTTGGTCAGACGAGTCAAACTTCAGTAACAATGGTATGTACAACCGGCGTAATAATCGTATTTGGTCCAGACAGAATCCCTTCCGAATCCGCGAGACTAATGATCAAGTGCGTTCAACTGTTGGTGTGGGATTGTGAAAAACCGGGTTCTCTTAATACATTTTTACGAAGGGCATCTGAACACTGAAAAATATTTAGAAATACTTGAGATTTTAAGGAGCGAGATTAATAATCTTCCCGATGCAGAACGACGAAGTCTCATTCGTCAGCAAGATGGGGCTCCGGCTCATAATAGTCGGAGAACAGCGGACTTTCTTAATGAATATTTTCCTTCCTGGATTGGTAATCATGGACAAATTAAATGGCCTCCGAGATCCCCGGATCTAACCCCGTTAGATTTTTTTTATGGGGATATGTAAAAGATTTAGTTTACAGGAACCGGTATGAGAGTGTGTAGGAATTACAAACTGAACTTAGACGTATTGTTTTAAACATTCACCATGAAAAGATAAATAAATCAACAGGAAGCGAAATTATGAAAAGAGTGACAATTTATATACTACACAATGGGAGACATTTTGAACATTTGATAACTTAAATTGATTGATTGTAAGTTGCAATTATTTAATTATACCTAATTATTTTAATTAAATTTCAATTTTATGGTCTTCCTTTTATTTAAGATATTATGTTATTTAGAAGAAAACAATCCTTACGATTGAGGCTTTCGATCAGTATAACAAAATCACAGGTGATTTTTTTTTTCACATTTTGCGGGTTCGATTCCCGGTTCAGACAAGCGATTATTTAAAATCTTTGAATGCAGTTCGAATCATGCAGTCTTCTTTCAGTAAAATGTTCTATCAATGGTACTTAAGGTACTTTCCCTCCATGTGGCATAGCCGTGGGACACCCTGTATATCCCCTACTAATCAAATCTTGTTAAAACTCCTCTTTACGAGATTAGAAATAAGAGCACAGTACAAAAAGATTCTACTTCTTCACGTCTTCAAAGTATTAATAGTAAAGTAAATGTTACCCATTCTGCATCGAAGCCGGTAACCACCGGAATATTCTGGTCGCAAATACCACGGAAGACGACAGGTTGTCCATTTGCCTCAGGATAATAGAAACAAGCATCGTCAGAGTTGTTAACGGTTTCGAAGAAACGGTTGTTTAGAACTTGGATCGAATCTATGATTTGGTCTATAGCGCTGGTTGCATTTGCAGATAACGACCTGGTACGGCTCAACTTCCAACTCCACACTGAAAATATAAAAATAGCGCGCCATACTGTCACCAGTCACAAATTAGAGAATTATTTGTATACGAGCATCCTTCGATTTAAACTTGCCATTTTTCATCCTTTCTGTGTTTGTGCAGTCTCACTACATACACACACACACATCGCTTCTCTTATGGAAAGAATACATGCACCGAAAAGTGAAATATCGGAAGTCTTAAATAAAGCATTCTCTTCTTTGAACTTGCTAATGTTATCATATTATGTCCTAGACCTTACCTTGTCTCCTATTATTAGGCAAATTTAAGCAGCTGTAGACAAAAGAGTAGGAGTCGTAGTCGGTATCCAGAACCCAGTAGTCAGAGTCTTGATCGGCTAAAAGAGTTTTAAAAGTATAATTGTAAATCTACTTTTAACGTATCTTGATAGAGAGGAGTTTATGGATTATACAAAACTTTGGACGTTTTGGAGTACTGATGATATCGATTTGTCATGTGCTCAACATAACCTATGTGGAATGGGAAATTCTACAAAACTTTCTAAAAAATGTTGGGTTACGTTGAAAATCATGGAAGATTTTTGATCAAGATCATCAATCTATTATTAGATTTATCAACTTCAGACCAGCTAACACATTTGAACTGTCCACTTTGAAAATATTCATATTTGGAGCGATTGTCGGCTGACAAACAAATTCATAATAGCTTATTAGAAAATTGCTTTGCTATTCTTAATATAAGAATCAATGACAAAGAAAGAAGAAGAAAGAAAGGACCAATGTAGAAAAAACCTTACCAGTCGGGAACGTAACCTTCAACTTTGCGCTACTATCATTGCTTGCGAGTACTGCAGATCCAGTAATGGTGTCCAAAGATTGGTCTATAACTTGCGTATTGAACACTAGGACAGTACCATCACTCTGAACTGTATAAGTGGCATCATTGCAGTCTCCTGATTGAAACCCTGATGGATATGTTTCAATAAGATGCCAGAGCCCTTCATACTGAAAATTCAAAAGAAATAGATAATAGCATATTAAAAAAAAATGTCTTCATCATCACACAAAATTATAATGTGAATATACGTGTCGAACCACGACAACGTTGGGTATTTAGAGTTGACATTGTGAACTCTGGTTCTCAAAGACTTATTGTGCACCCGACATACAACACTGCGTTTCACAAATACGTTTTCAAGGGACCTTGCTCTTTGTTAAATATATTGTTATCGTAACTTACCCTACTAGGTTGGAAATTCTGCACCACGTTGATGTTAAGATCACACTGCCCAACAAGAATCACCGGCTCTCCTGGAGCTAGTTCTGGTAGATAGAAACAGGCGTTGTCGTTATGGTCGATGTTTTCGAAATAGTTGTTATTTAAAACTTCGATACCGGCGTTTGCGATGAAATTGTCGATCGTTGCTGCAGCTGGTGCAGTTAACGATTGTGTTCTGCTAAGTTTCCAGCTGTGGACTGGAAAAAATTAAATATTAACTCTAGAGACTTAGTTTTCCTAGGTTGTCTACCAACTGCGACCAAAACGCTGGTTTGTTTGAAGAGTCAGATCTGAAAATATCTGTACCTCCAATAAACAACTTTATTTTTTGGTAATTTTCTGTTATGTTAGTAAACAGCCAATAACAGCAAATATTTATTTATTAGTATTAGTATGCTCTTCGAATTTTGTGGAAAAAAAATAAAGAAACAAAAAACAAAATAGAAACAGAACAGGTCCAAAACTTAAGTTGGCGCATTGTTCATTGGAGGTATCGGTATATATTCATTTTCAACATCTTTTTTCTGTGTTCTTGATATACCTATGAGATATAACTGTTTCTTGTTTCACATTTTTAATAGTTATACAATGTAAACAGTAAGAGCAAACCTACTTCTTCTAAAATCGCTGTTTATGTTCACACAACTGTAAGCCAAAGCGTAGTCGTTGTAATCTGTCGCTAGGATCCAGAAAGGCATAGTTGTAGCTGAAAAATAATATAAAAATATACGTTGCTTCATAAATAAAATCAGATTGAACAGATAGATATCATTTAGGCGAGCGTGTATCATTCTCCTTCATTCTTCAGCTGACATTGTGGGCAAATGTAAGTTTTTTAATTCTCCAAGAAAACCGTACATCTATGTGAAAAGAATATCTCTCGTACATAAGCTATGAATATAATAATCTAAGAATATGAATTCTAGAGACATGTTTCTTGACAACAAAAAACGTAATAAAAAAATGTCGCTGTGCATGATACACGATGTTATTAAGGACATTAAGTACTTATATTATAATATTTTGTACTCCTGTACTAAAGTACATTTGTCAATTTTAATTTTCTAAACCGTATCACAAGCTCTTTTTAGATCTGAACCAAAATTTTATCCTCTATGGTACTCGCTACTGAACTGAAAAATATCAAATATGACGCTCCTTAAGTGCTCTACTGCCTCCTGATTGGTTAAATATAAGCGGTACCAGGCCAACCACGGACATTTCTATTTTATCTCTGCTTTTTTGGTTCATTTGAGTTTGTTGCATGGATTGTTAACAAATAATCTTTAAATATTGATTGTGTGTCATTATTTCAATTAACTTCTATGCCAACATTACATAATTGGGTCTTAAGATCTCTTACCTATTACTTAGGCCACGACGTATTGCATGGTACCGGACTTTAAGAACCTTCATTTGAAACGATTGCATATAATACTATTATCAGTATCAAGTTGTTGTATTTTGTACTCACATTCCCCATCTTTATTGACCGTTATAGTTAAACGTCCACTGTTATCGGTAGACGTAACTTCGCTGCTTATTTCTTCCAGGAATTGATCCGCAACAGCAAAGGATTGCAATATCAAAGTATTTCCAGATTGCGTGGATTCGTGTCTTACACAATGACCAGGTAGAAATTCTTTCGGGTAAGATTGGATTTCGTACCATGTGCCGTTGAACTGTAAAACAAAATCTTGAATTACTATCTTCCAATGACACAGCATTGTTTTCGTTCTCGGTACAGCTTTCGGAAGCTGAACTCAGTTCTTAAGGCCCAAAAAAGATGTGTCAGAGCAATTTGTCGATTGAAGAGAACAGATAGCTGCAAACCATGTTTTAAAGATCTTCGACTACTGACTGTTCCTTCACTTTATATCTACGAAACTGGCGTGTATGTCTGAATGCACGCACACTTGTTCACACGAACTCTGAAGCCAACACGATATGACCAAGTTCGTTTGAAAGCCTGTAAAACTACCTTCATGCAGAAAAGTATTTTTGTAATGGCGCCAAAAATTTATAACAATTTACCGGAAGCACTAAGGGCTGAGAAAAACCTTATGCTATTTAAAAAACAATTAAACAAGTTACTGATTAATAAAATGTACTATACAGTGTCTGAATTTTTAAATGATAAATACCTAAATTCATTGAATAATTTTTGACATTGGACGTTATTGACGTTATCATGTTACGATATTATTTTGACATCTAATTACCATTAAAATCGACCCATGTAACTATCATCGCGTTTAAAATCTGACCGTCTTATTAAATCCATGTGTGCACGCGCACGCATGTAATATTATTGAAATACGAAACATGTTACACCTGATTTAGTCTGTCGAAGTGCATGTGAGTGAATGTATTCAATATTTGTATGCCTACTGTTTGGCCGGACACAATGAAACTATACGTATTTTGTACATGTCAGCTTCTATATAACCCGTGTTTCCACAAATAAATGAATTATTATTGTTATTATTAAAAGCTAACCTGACCTATATTAATGATTTATTATTAAAATATCTACAAATAAAGAATACAAAGTTTTTACAAATTTTTTATGTATGTGTTAGCCCAAATCATCGTTACTTGATAAAGCAAAATTACACTTGAAATTGTCATATTGATTAAGCTCTACTGTTCATTCGTAAGACAGATTCCCTTGAAAATAATGAGCAAGAATCTCTAGGGGTTGCTCTTTGTAAATGTACATTTGAATATTTATTACAAACATGTTAGATCCAGACTGTCTGCCTTTGGTAAACATACAACGTGCTACGAAAATCTACTTTCTATAAAGCACGTAAGCAAAAAATAAGCAAATTTGGATAACATAAGATAGTGCATGTGTCATATGGGCTCAAACAATTTTGATGACAAACTTCTAACGGTTTTCTTCCTTTTCGCTATTCTTACTTATGAGTTAACGCACCTAGGTCATTTCTACTTATTTTAAATACATATTAATACGGGATGCAATCGTTAAGTGTGCCCAGACGATTATATTAAAAACCTTTAAACTGATATCGAAAGTATATGTATGTTACGTAATGAGTAAAACGATATCAATAACTTTTTAAATAAAACTAGAAATATCCATCCATATATCCAATTGTAACGTAAAAACGCTACCATACATTTAATATGACATTCGTAGAGAGGATTAAGTTGATCTACTTCAAAGAGGTAACAATAAGTTCATATAGCGAAATTGCATAAAATCTTTTAATTAAATACAAACAAAGTAATGTTTATTTTAAAAATAACGGATAACTCACGTATTAAGGACCACGAATTGGTCCGAAACATGTCGAGCGAAAAAATTCGACTTAAATACGTGAGTTATCCGTTATTTTTAGTTAATATATAAACAAAACAAAAAGTTGTATTCAAAGCAGTTGTTCGAAACTAAAGCCTCTTTAAAATGTTCGATATTTCTAGTTTTAATTTAAAAAGTCATTGGTATCGTTTTACTCATTGGGTATAGGTATAGGTATATCATTTTAAACGTTTTTGGTATCTCTTATATATACGAAATAATCACCTAGTTACACATAATGATTACAGCCTGTATACTGGAAAATGTACTTACGTTGGCCAAGTTAAAATCTTCAACAACAGGGATTGTGGTATTACATTGTCCTGGGAATATAACAGTAACACCTGATTCGGGTTCGGGATAATAGAAGCAACCTTCTGGACTCTGATCCCTGTTAATGTAGTATTGCTGGTCGAGGACAGGAATACCGCTCATTACGTTATTTATTTCCTGGTTTGCTGTACTGCTCAGTTCTTTAGTCCTACTCAACTTCCAACTGAAAACTGTTAGTAAAGATTCACGTGACAACGAAATTTTTTAAATTTTCAAGTGTAGTTATATGATATTTTAATTATTATCCTCACCTCGTCTTGTATCAGTCTCAGGATTGTAAGTGCACGAATAAACCAATGAATATGATGTGTAATCCGTTGAAAGCACCCAGTATTCCATTTCTGCCGACGCTTTAAATGGAAAGAAATAAATTTTTAGGTTATATGAATGTGTTTTTCGTTTAGATAAACATTAAAGCAATTTCTTTTCTTGAAAATAATTTGATATTTAAAATTACAAATGAAATCATCTTTCAAAGCACTGTTATGACAAAAAATTGATGAGAAGAGAAAAATTGTCTGAATAGATATTTAGTATACTTTAACATTGAACAGCCTTTTTGTACTAAACAATTGCATCTTTAAGACTTGAAGAAACTCTTTAAATCGTTGAAAAGCAAATATGAAGATCCGACAAACATGCACATAGAAAAATTCGTGAGGTCTGCTGGTTCGTTCCGTGGCTTAGTTGGCATAGCGTGTCACACGGCTTGCAAGAAGAGGTTTACGTCTAGAACACGTAGATTTTTTCTAAGTGTTCGATCTTTGTATTAATAATTATAAGTCTCTAAACCGTTAAACCAAACTGAGCTGTATGTAATGAATAAACTGGAGTTACTAAAGCTAACGTCGGAAACCCTTACAGGTAAGAACCCGCAATAAAGTGAATGCTAAACCTTTAATACTTACCGTTAGTTCCAGCAATAGGGAAAGTGACAAGAAGTTTGCCACTACCATCACCGCTGATAGGTACTGCTGTACCACGTATGGTATCTAAATTCTGATTGATGACTTGGGTGTTGAACACGTCCACAACGTCGCCACGCAAGGTGTACAACGCGTTATGGCATTGACCCTCTTGGAACCCAGACGGATAAGACTCGATGTCGTGCCAAAGACCCAGGTACTGTAAAAAATGAGTTATAGAGTAACTTTTGTTTTTTAGGAAATTCATGGCCTGATTAATTTTTTGCCGATAAAGTGGCCAAAAAATGGGACAATCTATTTTTTAAACTCATTATTGAATATTCTAGCCCCATTAGAAAAACAATTCATCAAGAGAACACTTGATAAAATTCAAACAGATATAAAAAATCTGCTTGGCTATACCTTTAAATACAAGAGAAAAAATATACCTGGAAGACGCTGCTAAATTCTTTTGAATCAAACATGTCTTTCTTGCAAAGTATATGTGGTAAATAACTGAAAATACCTACCGCTGCAATATCAAAATTTGACACAACGGGTATAGTCTCATCGCACTGGTTACGGAACTCAACGACTTCATCAGGTGAAGGTTCAGGGAAGTAAAAGCATCCATCGTCAGTCTGATCAGCTTGTTCGTAGTAGGCGTTGTTCAAATAAAGTATAGAGTTGATAACTCGGTTCACTTCTATTTGGGCAGATGGTGGCAATTGACGTGTTCGGCTGAGAATCCAACTGTACACTAAGAAGAAAGATTTGGTTGGAAAGATTGGTCGGTGTATACAATACGACAGATATTCACGATTTTGAAGATTTTTCCTTAGTCTTGGAATATAGATATGCAATCTTTCTTTTTTAAATATGTAAGAAACGACAAGCATTTGTTTATCCGCGTCATCAAGTATTGAACTTACCGGATCGGGAATGAACAAATTGGTAGTTCCTAGTCTTATGAACATTGTGAAGGCAAGTACAATAAAAGCTGTTTTACCCATTTGGAAATGTCCATTATAATAACTATAATTAGGTTGTAAATTTTAAAGTCAGTGTGATGAATTACCTCGTTTTTGGTTATCTGGTAGATCGATGCAACTATACGAAATCGCAAAGCTGGAGTAGTCTGTGGAGATGATCAGCAATTCTTGTGGAACTAAGACAAAGTAATAACGAAAACGTTAGTTGATATCAAGTATATAAATATATCAAGTATATATGAAATTTAATGCTGTAAGAAGTATTAATTTCGTCATTATTTTTGACGCTGCTAATGGAGTAATACAGGTGGCCGAATATATAGAAGCAGGAAAAACAGAGTTCGGAAACCGACTCGCTAAGGATGCGTACAGATCTGACAAATGCGCTGCGCGCGTGCTGCTCGCATACTACACGCGTGCAATTAAATACATGTTAATATATGGGGCGCGCGCACTAACAGCAAGCGAACAAAACGCACAGCGTAATGCTCGAGTGCAGCTCGCGAGCCTTCCGCAAACAGATGCATTTGCAGTGCATTCGCCAGATCTGTACGCACCCTGAGAACTTTAAACGAAATGACGCTGATGTTAGTTATCGTAATAATCATAACGTTGTAATTTTTATACTCCTTGATTATAACAACAAAGTTTGTTTGCAAAGACAAAAACAAAACAAATTAGTATTATAAAAAGATCGAACAAAAATCAAAGAAAAATTCCTTTGATCCGGCTGGATTCGAATCAGCGGTATCAGCATAGCAGACCAACGCTCTTCTAACTGAGTAACAGAATGAACCAGCAGATCTTACGAATTTTTCTGTGCATTTTTCTTTTTTGTCTATGTTTTTGTTTTTAACGACTTTTTTAATATTAATAATTCGTTTGTTTGCTTAAAACATGGTATACAGAAGATTTAACAAGAGACAGTACAAAAATGTTTCGCATATATTAAATTTTGCTGTAGCGCCATCTATATCATATTCAATAAACTTCATATTACAAATATACGTGATTTTAGAATAAAAAAATAGTTTAATTTCTTATTTATCATTCTGTTTATTTTGTTCTACTGTTGTGTGAGAAAAGCGTGATACTCATTGAATCGCTTTGCATATGATTTCATAGGAACATTTTATTTCTACTACAGGATTGTTCTGATTATCCATTCCAATTAGATGTCTTTCTAATTTTTTGCATATTTCTAAAATCGCCTTCGAATTCGACGTTTGTAGAAGCGCTACTGAGGCGCGACTATGGCGCGTCTATAACGCATCACTAATCATTGTGACTGAGAAAGCGGGTAGCGCGCGCGTGTCGCGAGAAACGTACTTGCAACGCCACGTACGTTTCTAGAAATTGTATTAAAATTAGTAGTGCAGCGCTTCCGTAAGCATCTAATTTGAAAGCGCCCTAATACCACATTCTTATCTTTACCTTGAAATAAATAGACAAAGAGAAGATTAGGAAACATAAATTTAGTAAGTACCATTTGTGATCCGATTTATTTCATAAGTAACCGAATTCTACTTAAAATCGTATTTTTTATTCAGAGAAACTTCGTTTCAAAAATTCGTTTGACTTAGTTAGAACCAACCAATACTTTTGGTTAATCACTGGCAGTAGGCCTCAGCTACATTTATAAAGAAACCGTCAAAATTATTTGACGAAAATTGTACAACATGATTTCTTTTACTAGTACATAGCGATCAAATTAACAGTTCAAAAATATGATACAACATATAATTTGTCAGCTGAGTGTCATAGCTGAGTTGCTTAGAAAATTTGTAATTTTTAGACCAATTAAATTCAGCGATTTTTAGCAAATAAAATTTATGACCTGCTTTCCGCCTACAGTGTGGTGTCCAATACGTAACCATATAGAGATATTTTCTAAGAGATATAGATAACTGGAGAGAATATACACTAGAAAGTGCAAGATACTTAATTATATGCAATCACTTACCATCAGATATTTCCAAAGTCACAAGTAATCTAGCACTATTGTCACTGCTATTAACGACAGCATATCCAGCGGTGGTGTCTAAGGTCTGGTTGATCACCTGACTGTTCAAGACGAGCACTCGATCCCCACCGTCGGAATATTCTGCTCTTGGGCATTTACCTGTCGCACTTTCGGAATAGTAGCTTGAAATTTCGTGCCATGTGCCAAGGAACTGAAAGATTGAAATAATTTGTTTAGATTAAATGATTGGAATTTGTGAATGTTACTTGCAAAAGGTATGAAACTTTTGGATGAAATAATAAAGAGATAGTCGTAGCGCCATGTTCAGTGCAACCTGAGCGACAGAATAGAAAATACAGAAATCCGGAGTCGTACTAAGCTGTCTGGGGTGGGGCGTATTATTGCGCAAAGAAAAAGCGTTGGGCGGGTCACATAGCCGCAGGACCGATGACCGGTGGAGCAGAAGAGTGCTGGAGTGGAGACCGGAGACCGGTACCAGAAGCGTCGGCCACCAGAAGGCTAGATGGAGAGACGAAATAGTCTAGGTAACCAAAAAAACCTGGATGCAAATAGTGCGAGACCGAGGAGAATGGGGTGCAAATGTGGAGGCTTACACTCAGCAGTGGCTAAAGGCTGAAGAAGAATAGGTAGGTTTATTTCGACAGAACTACCATCCGCCAATTAAAACGCGGCTAGGTGACAAAATATTTTTTTTTTGTATCATAAAAGACCATAATCCAGAATACTGAAATTGTTTAATGATATTACACCTATGCATCGTTAGGGTAAGTTCCGATAAGTCCAATATGTTAAGTATTTTTAACTGCTTTAAAAGAGAATTTTGTGTTCTATCTTTTTATAATTAAAACGGATATTTGACCATTTGCCATTTAGCCGCATTTTAGTTAGTAGACCGCAGAAAACGCGATTTGCACGAGAAGCGTGAGAATAGTAATATCTCGTGCGTATACACAACGCAGCTATTTTACTGCAAATATGAGAAGCTCTCTATACGGCTCTGTTATGAGATAGAATGTAAAAAGAACAAATCAAATTTTGGCTTAAGAATAACACTTATGAAGACACAGAAAGCTGGCTAAGTTACTTCATAATTATATGTATGTATAACAATATAACTCATATATAACAATTAATATAGATTAAGTAACTTTAGTAGCACTAGAGCTCTATTTTTACCGCCAAGCAGTAATGTCAGCATTACTGTGTTCCGGTTTTGAAGGGTAAGGGGTGAAATCACAGGCACATGGGACTTGTCAACTATGTCAGGGTGACAGGCGCATAGGCAGTGCCCCACAGATCATTGCGATTTAAAGCCCTGAGTGGCCCTGCAACTGTTATGAACATGCGTGTAGCTTACCATCAGATGCACAACTTGTTCGTCCTGTCACTTGATATTGTAAAAGAAAACTACTGATAACTAAATGTTCTATTGTTAAATAAAGTTGCAAAACAGTTTTCGACTATATAACATAAATAGACGCAAACAAGTTGCCTAAAATATTGGTACTCATTACAACACTGAGTTCCTAGACTTACCTAATTAATTGTTCAATAATATTAAATATTCAAGGTCCAGTTTTTACCGTTTATTTTAATATTATTATAGCCTCCTTTAAATTTATTTCATTTACTTAGATTAAAGCTATGATAATTTATTTTTATCTTTATGAATAAACAACAACATAACGCCATCTAACATACGTAGCGCGAACCGCGACAGTAATATCTATTAATCGTTAGACCAATAATACGATATGGCTCGCCGTACTGTCAGTAGTACAGACATAATCTGCCAGATGTCGTTACTAACATAAGCAACAAAAGACATGATGTAGCAGCTACTACATAATATATACATACCTCGCTTGCTGAAAATTGTTGTTGAACAGGAATATTAGGATCACAATTTCCTGGTAGAATAATAGGACGTCCTGTTTCAATTACTGGTAGAGCATAACATGCATCATCGCTATGATCGGGGGCTTCTAGATCTTGAATTGTTAGGTTCAGCGCACTTCCAAGAGTATTGTTTATCAGAACAATTTGCCCGTCTGTTGCTACGTTGCCTCGCGTCAAACCCCACACGGATACTGAAAAGTTTTAATACAGGTTCATTATATTTATTACAGATTTATTACAGATCACGCAGACAAGAAATTAATATAAATAAATTTGTTATTGAATTGGATGGTTATATTATGTCCCCCTCTCTGGTATTTACTATATAGATGCGTACTGTGCAGTGTTGCCAGGGGTCTTTAGTTCAAAATTACGTTTTGTTACCTGAAAAGTTTCATTTTTGCCTCAAAATTTACATTTTCGGTATTTTTTAATAATAAATTCTAATTGTTTGTTCTAATTGTATATAATCATTTGTATACGCCTAAATCTTGAAAACATGGTTAAGATAGAAAATAAGAAAGTAAAGTTGTAACAAGTAATCGGTTAATTTAATTTTGTTTGCCCCATTTCAGTGTTATTTTTTTTGTCAATTTGGGTTCGTTCGTAAGTTATTTAGGATTTAAAAAACCAAATATAATTGAATTATATGAGTCTCATCGTTCTCAAAAGTTACTTACATTACGAGAAGGTCAAAAGTTACGAAAAATGTAAAAAATGTAATAATCTGGCAACATTGGTATTGTGGGTTACCTGCGCAAGGCAGCTGAGAGCCACTGGGTGCTAAAAGACTTAAGGCATGCGTTATGAGGGCGCTATATTATTATACTATTGGTTATAGGCCCACACAGCTGGACTAAAGAAAACCGTTCATGATTAATATAATGTCTACGAACTACGAAGATTTAAAAGATTCGACGATTAATGTTCTATGTTTCTTTTTTGCCTCATTTCAGATAGAAGTAAACAATATTAGAATAAAGATTTTCAGAGTTCCATGCCATGGATACAGTAAGTACCTACACTAGACCACTTCTAGATACGTAAGTACAAATTACAGATATAACTATTAATTTGATTAAATGCGACAAATTTAATTTACATACCAAGTCTTTGATTTGATGTTACGTTATTATTAATGTTCTGACAACTGTAAGCCACGGCGTGACCTATGTAGTTGGTTGTTATAATCCAAAAATCAATCGCTGAAAAGAAAAAGGTGAGGTAAATAGTGAGGTTACTGAAATTTAATATAATGAAAGAACTAACAATTTGAAATTCAATGCGAAACATAAAATAAGTATGTATGATCATGGTAACCTATTAGACCAGCCTCAAAATAGAGACTTACAGTCAAGACACATATCACGCTTGATGCTTTGTACATTGAACCGTTCTCATCGTTAAGTGGAAAACAGTTGAATTTAATTGACAAACTTGACGTGCTTTCGATTGTGTACTGCGAGTAATCAAATTAAATTCATAGGTACTACACAGAACACTCCGACCAGAACTAATTTCTAAAGTTCGATTATATAATTGCTTCATCTGGATGGATCCAACATATTTCTCATGTAGGACATGGATGCCAAAGCCAGAGCGTTTGAGGTAAAAATAAACAAGAAAAGTTAACGAGAACAAAAACAAAATTAGCTCAAAGTAGGTATACAAATTGCTCACCATTGTCATCGTCGTTCCACCTCAAAGTTAATTTAGCAGTTGTATTTTCTTGTGTGACGGTGCCAGTTATAGAATCAGCGAAATTGTCATTCACTACGTCATTGGTGAAATAAAAAGATTCATTAACACTTTGTATGTGTATTGATCCACAGTCTCCATCGAGTAGGAGGTCACTGTTTCTTTGTACTTCGTACCATATCCCCTCAAACTGTGAAGAAATTTTTAAGTAAATGAGCAGTGTTTTGCGGATTGAGCTTTTTACATTTATGTTGAGATTGTTTAGGTCTATGTGGATTCGGGAATTCCCACACTCCTTCTCGCTAGCCCCTATTTTAAATCCATTGTTCTATGTTCAAAAATGTTTATAGTTGAAGAAATATTATTTGCACCGATGAATGTTATCGCTTGAAACGGCTATCTATTTTACAAACGGGTAATATAATTATTAACACTTTTTTTACTTAGAGACTACGTGGTTTAAATGGTCTCGATCATACGAGTGTGATTGTGCTAAATGTTTTTTTTTAATTCTCGTTTTGAATTATTTCTTTACTCATCAGACCGACTGTTTTCTTGTTAATGCTATGGCCACACTAAGGTATAGGGGCACTAATTATTCATCGCATTAATCGAAGTGTAGCCACGATTTTTGAGATAATTTGACTATGGTATTCTCTATGGGATTAGGTATTAGACAATAGCTTGGGTGGCGGTGTGTTTGTTACATCAAAGAGATTTATCGCGGTTTTTAATGCGTGTAATGGTCACACTGACATTATTTAAAGTGCAGCATGAGCGCAACAGGATTGCATGTGTCCCTTAGGGACGATTCAAGTATGGAGTAGGCAAATGAAAAAACACTCGAGTTTCTTGATTTGTTTCAAATTGACCTATGTGTATAATAATACAGTACTGGTTTTGCTTCGGTCAAATATTATTAGCATAGCCATTCAAAGGGGAACGCTGCCAGCATCTTGGACACGGGGGACCCAATTTTATTCATATAATTTAATCATAGTTTCACTTTCTAGAATTTAAGCTTTTACTGTACCTTACCTGCATATTTCAACTCATTGTCCAATAAAAACTTTCAACAATTCATATACATAATAATCCATAATAATCCAACTTCCATCTTGGAATGATATTTTAAACGCATAATTTATTGATATTAGACCCTAAATCCTAGTGTAGCTACTCTATTTTACGTAATATTTAGGCAGTATTTTTACGCCTCAATTATTACGATAATGGGACATTTAAGTTAGACAATTAACCTTGTGTGCTTGGGTGTTGTAGTGCGCGGGTCAAGCGACAGGGACACTGGCTTTATTTCAGAATTAATTTATTTTACAAAGGAAATTAAAGCCTTTTGTAAAATGTATATATATCGTACTACATGTGTTCTGTTTAGTTCAGTTGATATAAAAAAAAACATAGGTATATGTGAAGTATCTATTAAATACAGCGGTTTTCTTGTAAAAGTATTATATATATACGAGGTGAGTTTGTGTTTTTTTTTGTAAAGTTAAAATTTTTAGGAATCGTGTTTTCACATCGTATACTAATCAGTGTACATATCCAATTTTTAACCGACTTCAAAAAAAGGAGGAGTAGGTTATACGTTCCGATGTATGTATGTTTCAGATTTCTCCGTCAATTGTAGACCGTTTTTGAAAATTATTTTTTTGTTTGAAAGGGTACACTCTCGTGGTGGTCCCATTGTCACCAAGTCAGAATCTTATGAGGGGATCCACAGAAATCGAGGAAAATCCTCAAACCGATTTTGAAAATTCTTTATTTGTTTGAAAGGGCATACTCTTGAGGTGGTCCCTGATGCCAACGACACTATTCCGCTAATAAAAGTCGACTTTTGACTTTTGACTTGACACGATACATGTAATCAAGAAATCACCATCACCGTGACAACCAGAAAAAAGTATAAAATGTACAAAGGAGGCCTTAACAGTGCCATTGTCACTAAGAAGTCAGAATCTGATGAGGGGACCCCATGGAAATCGGAAAAAGCAGTCAAGCAAACTTTTGACGTCGCCTTTTTTTCAATGATAAAAATTTATATTTCCTACCTACTATTTACATTACTACTACTTACTATTTATACTTTGGAAAAAGTTATACTTCCTGCATATATTTTCCAAAGTTATTAATTCAACATTTTCACTGTTATGCGGTATCAACCAAAGCCATTTGAGGCGGTATCGATTCTAAAGTGCCCTGTTCATATGCAATAGTTGTTTGCACTATATAAATGGCATATACGTTACCGCGACAGCTCATTCTTTTATCCTATTGTACTTGAAAGATACAGCAGTAAGACGAATCGGTGGAAATCATATTTCGTGAACTACAGTTATTTTTTCATTCACCGTAGAAGTGCTGAGTACTACACGCACGCCCTTGGAACTAACAATCGTCCCCTTGGCATAACAAAACCACGTGTGGTCATACGTAAAAAGTATGAATGTCATAAGAATAATACAAACTACTTGAAACAAACTATGTATATCGTCGGGGATAGTGCAAATACGTGTATGTAGCTTGGCATCCTTTCCAAGGTGAGGCATTACTTCACACCGGGATAGTTGCTTCAGCTGTACCAAGCACAAGTCCGGTCGTGTATGGAGTACTGCTGTCACTTATGGGGTGGCTCTGCTAAATACCAACTGGCCACCTTGGACTCAATCGACAAACGTGCCAAGAGGCTTATAGGTGACTCGGAATTAATAGAGGCAAAGCTGCAGAATCTTGAACACCGCCGTAAAGTTGCCTGCTTATCGGTATTCTACAGGATATATCACGGAGAGTGTGCGATGGAATTGCAAAATTTGATTCCGCCTTCCCCTTTCCATCATCGGAAGACTAGTCGTAGGCTGGGATTCCACCCCTATGTTGTGGATATTCCAAGGATTCGCACGAAGCGTTTTGCTTCCACATTTATATGGCGAACGGCTACGGGATGGAATTTCCTGCCTGCAGATTTGTTCTTTGAAAGTTATAACTTGGACCTTTTCAAGGCGAGAGTGAATAGACATTATTTAAGTGTGCATGCTACATCGTCGACTTCATTGCCACGATAGATAGATGACGATAGAGGTCAAATGCGCACTTACTTTTTCAACGTTCATCAACAGCTTATCGTAGTCTACTACTGGATATAGGCCTCTTCCAATGCGCGCCATTTCGCCCGGTCCTCAGCTCGTTGCATCCATCTGCTGAAAGTAGCCCTTCGCAAATCGTCACTCCATCTGGCAATAGGTGTCCTACACCATGTTTTCCGAGTCGCGCTCTCCACTCAGGAACTCCCTTCCCCCATCGGTTAACAGTTCTTCGACAAATATGGCCAGCCCACTGCCAGCCATGTCGTGTGTGCTACCTTATGTAAGGTTCTGTATCTTGTCCTCCGAGCTTAGCTCGTTCCATACTTCGCCGAACGACTTACAACTGGTGAACTAACCGTATCGTGAGTGGTCACGTCTCGGCTCCGTATGTCATAACAGGTAGAACGAACTGATTGAAAATCTTTGTTTTCAAACTTTGCGGTATGGTGACTAGAAGACTCGACGCAGTTTACCAAACACTGCCCAGCCAAGCTGAATCCTCCTCTAGGCTTCCCTTTCAAAGTTGTTTTTACCCAATCGCAAAATGTGCCCAAGGTAAATCTATTCGGAAACAACCTCAAGAAGGTGGCTATTTACTACGATTTAACGTTATTACTTTGTTATTACAATGGCTACGGTTTTCATTTTTTGCACAATAAGCATTAATTTATGTTGACTGATAACAATAGATCCCCGTAAATTACGCTAATTTGGTTGCCACGACATTTACGCGGAATTAATTTGGCCACTAAATTACCGAAATGGAAACTCATAATCCAAAGCTAGTTACGCGTAATTGCACTTTTTCCGACGATGTATGATATTTTACAATTATTGTAATTAAGTACAAAAAGCCTAATTTAATTCTTACAATCATTGAAACTTAAACATTGAAAAGTTGAGTGAAACTTTTCAAGTTAACAACTATAAATAATTATTATTTATAGGTCATGGTAGGTATTTACAAGGCACTTATAATAACTTGACAAAACTTATTACAAAATTATTATTATTTTAATAAAAAATAGATGCAAGATTGCAAAGTTGTTGTTTCACGCGTGTGCATGTATGAAACCTGAGCAAGCGAAGGAAGTTTTCGCTCGTGGTACAAATAAATATAGATTCCAGAGCGTAGCGAGGGTTTCAAGGCATGAGACGCAAAACAACTTTGCTGCCGAGCGAACCAGACAACTTTTCACTCCACTATAGTGACGAAAATGGTTGATGAAAGAAAAACAGTTGAACTACAAAACATTAGTTTTTTTTAATTAAAAGAAAAAGTTATTTTTAATTAAAAAAAGACGCATTCTGAATTTACACCCCATCAATTTCTATTCTTGCTTGTACTTTTATTTTGTGTCATTAAGTGACTATTGAAATTATTTTTGTTCTTCGACGAATTCAAATAATTTAATAAGCACTATTAGTTATCAGTGTCAATTTAATGTCAAAAATAATAAGTATAAAAATATACCAACGGATTTATATTACATAAATATGTAATGTACGACAAATCGCGTAGTTGAACATGTCATTATCTTTTTTTTATCGAAAGAAAAAGTTAGGTGCACCACACTCCATTGTCAAGTTCGAATTTCAAAAACCTTTTCCACGCTAGCGTGCAAAAAACGCTTTTGCGCGCAGATTTCAAATGAGAAAGCAAGCCCTTCCGATTAGAAATATTATTATTTAGTAGCAGTAGAGATCCTTGTGAAAAAGTTCGTCCAGGGAAGTATTACCACCTTGCCTATTTCTGCCGCCAAGTAGTCAACATTACTGTGTTCCGGTTTAGAAGGGTAAGGGTGC